TTTCTTACATATTAGGAGTATGAGCCTACAAAAACTTACCTGCTTAATTTTAAATATTTGAAACGCCATTATCTTCAACGGACCTGTCTGCATGATTCAGTTCATATAAAGGAGTTTTTGCAGGACTTGGTCCTTTGGGGAAATTTCACAATTTGGGGCTATTTAGTACTGCTTTGTGCAGCCTGTCTGAAAACTATCACAGCCAGCAGGTGTCACCGTTGTTGCAGAAATTGCTACAGGGTGAAAGTGCCAGGAGAGAAGAGAAAAGAGCACTTGTCTGAATCTTTGAGGAAAACTTTGTGCTTAGAAGTTGCTGTCTCCACCAGCTGAGCTATCAGTTCCTTGATTTCTGAGAGCCAGCATTTATGGCAGGAGATGCTGGCTCAAACTAGCCAGGAACTGGCAGAACAGCAAGGAAGCCCAGCTTTTAGTACCTTGTTTTTGGCAGCTGTCTATATTTAGGATTAGCCTGATGTTTTATTTATATTTTAAAACAAAGCTTAAAAGCTAGCAGGTTTGTAAGGCTCATTGTTTTCTTACTGAGGGAGTATGGTACAATAAATACAGCTGTGATGGGTGAACAAGGAAGCATCACTTATGTGACTAGGAGTCCTCAGACCTGACAATCATGTCCTTTTTCTGTACCACGTAACGTCCCTTAAAAATAACCTTGGCAAAATATGGTTTAACTCCTTGCTGTGTTCTTTTATTCCAGGAAATGGCTGACAAACAGATTGCTGCCCTGCCCCGGGACAGCTGTCCTGTGAGAATCCGGAATAGGTGTGTCCTGACATCCCGTCCTCGAGGTGTGAAACAGCGCTGGCGGCTTAGTCGAATTGTCTTCCGCCACCTGGCTGACCATGGTCAGTTGTCTGGGATACAGAGAGCTATGTGGTAAATCACCGCCAGGACTTCTTTGTTAGAAAGAGAAACAGACTGGGCCCAGTTCATGCTTTCCAGGAATTACAGCAAAATTGTTTTTGCTTCTATGTCCAGCATAGGTGTTATAGCAAGGAATAGAAGCAGTGATCCCACTACAGTTCAGTCTTAAGGGCCCTGACAATTGCCAGATGGCAGAGAAAGGGGCAGGAGAAAGCATGAATGCATTGAGCCAGTCTGTATGAGACAGCTTTACTTTGATGCAGAATTGCTACCTTCTTATTAAAGACAAAGCTGAAATTTGTAATGAGGAACATTAAAAACAGATATAGCACAAGGATGGTTTACTCCTTGCATTGTGATCGTTGTGCACTTTTCTCTGTAAGTTTGATCAGAAGCAACAAAAACAATCATACAATGTAGCATGGAAGTACTCTTGCTAAATGCAAAGTCATAAGCCAACTGCTGAGTCCAAGTTGGCGTGAGGTTTGTGTGCGCCTCCTGATACGGATAGTCAGAAGCTGTGCAAGTGTGCCCTACAGATTAACTAGTGGACAAATAGCCCATCAAGCTAGATCAAAGCTGATACTTCTCACAGCATGCTTGTAGTTACAGAGCTGGGTATGGTGGCTCAACTTGGTAACGAACAATTTGGTGCTAGGCCTCACTCACTAATCAAGTCATTTAATTTTTCTGTGGCTTAATTCTCTTCAACATTTGTCTAAGGCTTCAGTCAGGGAACATTACATAGGTCTCCTCAAGTGCAGTGTTGTTTTTGTACAGACATGGAATAGAGTCAAGTGTGCTGCCTTTCTAATCTTTCCCATTCCTTCCTGTAATCAACAGTGTAATGGAGAAGCATACTCAGTTCCCCTCTTTCAGTGGCCTGTATAAAAGAATACACCATTTTGAAGGGAGCTACATTAGTGAAGTGAGTTGGAGCCTAATTTTCCTTATAACACTTGGAAAGCAACGTAGGCAATTAATTTGGCAGTCACCCCTCCATTCAGGGAGATTGAGGGGGGTAATGAAGGGTGGAGGGGGTTTGTGATTATCTCTTCCGCATTTGATATGCCTACTGTCACTTGACTAAATGATGGCACATTATATCCTTTTCCCCATGTACAAATTTAAGATTTTTCTCTAGGACTCCTAGCAATGCACACTTACCACAAACTCCCCCACAAACCTTGCTTCTCATGTATTTCCTGGACCATCGTGGCTACAACACCCCATCCCTTAGACCAAAAGCAGCCCCTTATTGATGCCAGCCTGAGGTCAATCAACCTGGGGCTCCATAGCCTGAATGGAAAAGTCAGCAATGTAGTAGGCTACGATAGCCTCACGTTTACAGTCATAGCAATCTAAATATTTAGTGTTTGGTACTGTACATTCCCTACAAGACCTAAAAGGTAGAGGGTAGTTACATTTTATTTTGCTAGGCCTGGAATTGGTTTGGCATCTTGCTCTTCATGTGGTGGCTAATTGTGCCTCAGCCTGCTGGATACTGATAAAATCAAAGACTGCTGGCCAGAAGCAGCCACTGGTTAAGTCTCTTGTACACAAATTCTCCTAGGCGCACACAGTCAGTCTCTGGACTAGCAGTGGGTACATGCCATATGGTGCTGACAGACATGTGGCTCCCTGGTCTAATTCATGGCACTTTACAGAAGGTGCCATGAGTTAGACCAACCCTCTTGACCCAACAGACATTTGTTGTTTGCTGCACTGGAGGTGGGGAGGGGAGCTGTGATCCATCTGCCTCCACTACAATGCAGGCTGGGTAAACTCCAGCCCAAGCTCCCTCCCCTCCCATCGTGCAAACAGCACTGGAGGCAGAACTGGCTATCAGCCCAGCCACCCAATCAGACAGAAGTTAATGAAGGGGTTCCACTTTAGAATTCCTACATCTGAACACTTACATAATGAGGGTTCATTTGTCCTGTGATCAGGGACTCTTAAAGCGCTCTGCAGCTGTGCGCTTCTGGAAGGGCATGACTGTAGAGCACTTGCAAGGGGCTGATCACATGACAAATGTAACTTCTGTCTCTGCCCATAAAGAAGTGTGCGCTAATCAGGCTTTCTACAGAGCTCTTACCATTGCACTTCAGCCTGAAACAGTGTCAATACCAACAGATCAGAGCTGTTTTTCAGTTCACCTAGTAGATGTTTTGTTGCAAGACAGAGGTTCCTCTTCTACCATTACATTTTCATCATACATGCAGACATGCCTGTCCTTTTGGAGCATGTGAGAACATTTTCTTCAGCATGTAGAAAAATTACTTAGGCTGCAGCTGTTACAAGAGGGCTAGGAACTAGACTAGAGAACAGCAGACACTTTGAGTTTAACCAACAACTTACTTTTATTTTCCTTTGTAATGGTTGCATGTTGTCAGTTTCTCAGATGAACAAAAAAATAGTGAAATGCTCTTGGAGGCCATGGAAAGACAAATACCCTGTACTCTTCAGGAAAGAGGGTCCCACTTGATTGAGGGAAATGGGTTTTAAGCATACTTTATTTAAATTTCTCCAGCCTGAAATCAAAAACAGCTAAGTGTCTTTGCTTGGAAGTAGGTTATGTAAACAATGCACTTATAAGACATGCCCTCTGCAGCACAGCAAGTCCCATAGGAAGATCCATATTAAGGCCCTCTTTGGAGTAGTATCAAATATCCATTGGTATGTCCCCTTTAGATTGTTTTTCTCTACTCTCAACCCAGGCCTTATTAATGGTTCTTTTCATGTCATCATCCCCCTCTGAATACATCTTTTTCAGAAGGTTCATCAGCCCTTCGCCAGGGTCTGAAGTGTCATATGCAGCCTTCCTGCAAGACAAAAGGGATGGGTATGAAATAGACTTGTCATTTCTCTGCTAAATTTGAAATGCTTTTAACAATTCTTTTGCAAAAGGATCAGCAATATATAGGACTTTGCCTCTGGTTTTACAAATTGACAGGATATAGTCCCACACTATCATACAGACTCGGAACCTCTAAAAAGAATAGCAAGGTGAAAGCTCTAGTAGGTTTAATGGAATAAACTAAAATCTTGGAGCTGTCCCTCATTAAAGAGAACAGCTTCGTAGTAAGAGTTAGGGTTGGAAGTGTTTAAACTTCATAGAGATGTAACAATTTATTACTGGACCTAGGGAGTGCCACAACCCATGTTTGCTTTTGCTACAAAAGCTGTGCAAGTGATTGTTTCCAGCCTCCTAAGTGAAAATTGCATGGTGTCCCCCTTCCTAAAACAGAGACAGGTCTGTACCACCTTAATAGATCATGTTTGTGACACCATTGGATTGGCTCCTTAAGGTAAGTTTCACTGAGTACTTTTCACAGCTGAAGTAGTCAAGTGACAAGAACCTAAATTAATTTTTTTTGGTCCCACAGATGTTACTAAAATCATACACGTCTGAAATACATAGGATGGAGAAAACCCACCCAATAGCTACATAGCTACTCCCCTTAACCTGCCTTCAAAACTCTTTGGCCACACCACCAACTAGCTAGTTTAAAGTAATGGACTGAACCATGCTCTAAGACAGAAAGGAGTAACTTCTCCACATGGGGAGCCCCATCTCTGAAAGCTGAGCACTAGTCTGACAGTAAAATCATCCTAGGTAATTTCTAAAGTGACTTGGTCCTGCACACATTAGAGATTTATAGATTGACACTTTGCATGGGAGCCAGCGCAAATCTTTGCAGGACTGCCAATGGTGCACTACTGCACTGCAGAGACAGTTTCAATAGCTATTTCTAATCCTCTATAATAGTTTGCTTTGCTTATGTCTTTGTCATTCCATCTCTCACACTGAAAAAAATCATATTTGCGCTCACTTTTCTGGACTTTTAATGATTTATTTCAATTAGTTATGGTATACTCTTGGTATCCGAGCAAAAATAGTCTTTTAACACCCTTACTTTAACCCATAACACCCTTACCAAGGTGAAGCCGTGAAAAGACGGCAACTGAATGCAGAAAGAATGGCAAGAGTAGGACAAAATGAAATAAGTGAGCAAAGAGGATGTCATAGAAGAGATGCAATAGAAAGGCAAAGGGTTCACAGAGACCATAGAAGACAGGCTGAAAGAGTAGACAATAATAGATTCACTGAAGATGAGACTGAGGAACATAGTTGTGGATTGATGAATGTGGTGTTCCACTTTTGTAACTCTTTAAACTTCCAAGCTGAAAGACTATCAGATGGCCAATTCCGGAGTTGCTGCCATAACAGTAAAGTGATTCTGCCTCCAATAAGACCATTTTCAGAGTATTTGCAGGATTTGATGATGAATCAGAAAAACGAGCATTACTAGAAGTTTAAAACAAGCATTCGATCATACAACAGTGCAGTCTGTTGAGCAAAGATCATTGTGATGAGATGTATGATTCACGGACCGTGTGGAGGACTGAATCCAAATGCACTGTGCATAGAAAATCATCGATGTCTGAAGACATACCAAAGGAGTTTAGAGAGAAGACACTTGGAAATGGTGACGGCTACCCATTGTATAGAAGAACAGGCAGAACAGCTCAAGTTGGTAATGGCACAGTAACAGAAACGTGGTACCATGTAACAAGTAGCCTATTTTTGACAGGTTTTTATGCTAGTAATCTATTTCTTCATAGGCTGTATTAATATAAGCTCTGCCAACAGATCAAGGTAAATGATTCTTCCCCTCTAATCAACACTGGTGTAGCCACACCTGGAGTACTGGTGTCCAGTTTTGAGCCGCCCACTACAGAAAGGATGTGGACAAATTGGCAAGGGCAGCAAAAAATGGTGAGGGGGCTGGGCCACATGACTTCTAAGGAGAGGCTGAGGGAACTGGGCTTATTTAGTCTGGAGAAGAGAAGACTGAGAGGGGATTTAATAACAGCCTTCAACCACCTGAAGGGTGGTTCCAAAGAGAATGAAGCTAGACTGTTCTCAGTGGTGGCAGATGACAGAACAAAAAACAATGGGCTCAAGTTGCAGCAAGGGAAGTTTAGGTTGGATATTAGGAAAAAATGTTCTCACTAGGAGGGTAGTAAAGCACTGGATAAGGTTATCCAAAGAGGTAGTGAAATCTCCATCCTTGGAGGTTTCTAAGACCTGGCTAAACAAAGCCTTGGGTGGAAGGATCCATCTGGTTAGGGAATGGTCCTGCTTTGAGCAGGGAGTTAGACTAGATCATAGTTTCTCAACCTGTGGTATGTGTACCCCTGGGGGTACACGAGACATGCAGGGGGTACACTGGTACCCCAACACACTCTGTCTCACCCTCTTTTCCTCTCAAAACAATGGCAAAAAAATTGGTGCTAAATTCTCCAGTAACAATTTGGTGTGTTGTGCTTTGTGCAGCACTAGGTTCAGCCCTCCTAGCTTTGGCCAACATCACCTCTAGCCCAGGTCCATACTTAAGTTATGCACCTCTGGTGTAAAAGGTGGCAACCCACCCTACCCACACCAGATGAGACATCTGTCCTATCACGGCCTTACATACAAAGCCCTTCTTCCAACATATGGCACACATTAGTCTAAGTATAAAATCCCCTGGAAAATAGTGTTGGGGTATTTATTAAAATTTTCAGAAGTTAAGGGGTACTTGCTACTTAAAAGGTTGAGAAGCACTGAACTAGATGACCTAGTCCCAGGATGTTTTTCTCCCCCTGTACTTGGCCTTGGTGAGGCCACAGCTGAAGTATTGCGTCATTTCAGGCTCCACAATTCAAAAAGGATGTAGAGAAGCTTGAGAGAGTCCGGAGAAGAACCACGCACATGATCAAAGGTCAGGAAAGCAGACCTTATGATGACAGACTGAGTGCCATGGGGCTCTTTAGCCTGGAAAATTGCAGGCTCAGGGATGATCTGATGGCAACCAATAAGTTTATCAGCGGTGACCACCAGTATCTGGGGGAACGTTTGTTCACCAGAGCGCCCCAAGGGATGACAAGGTTGAACAGTCATAAACTACTACAAGACCGTTTCAGGCTGGACATAAGGAAGAATTTCTTTACTGTCCAAGCCCCCAAGGTCTGGAACAGCCTGCCATCGGAGGTAGTTCAAGCGCCTACATTAAACACCTTCAAGAGCAAATTGGATGCTTATCTTGCTGGGATCCTATGACCCCATTTGACTTCCTGCCCTTTGGGCAGGGGGCTGGACTCAATCTTCTGAGGTCCCTTCCAGCCCTAATGTCTATAAAATCTATGAACCTCCTGAGGTCCCTTCCAATGCTCACTTTCTATGATTCTATGAACCCAACCCCTTAAGCAGTATATTATGTCATTTCCCTCTACAGATGGGTCCAGAGGGGAAGGTAGTTTTGTTCTGAATCCAAGTGTTGTAGTTAAGACCAATCCCTACAGGAAGCTTCAGATGACCTTACTGGTGTTGACAGGTTCTGAGGGACTGCCATCAGGTAATTTTTTTTTAGTTCTTTGTTATAAGGCTTCAAGGTAGAGCCAGAAGGGAAGGACATATAAGAAGAGCTATATACATATACATATACATATATGAGTATCGTGATGAAATCCATGATTCTGATGCAGATTCCCAGCTAAATTCTTCAACAACAGTAATGCAATCAAGGGTGGCAGAACTTTAGCAATGTAAAGCAAATTAATTCAAATGGTACTAGTTGTGAGTGGGTAAGAAATCTCCATCTCAACTCTAGCAACAAACCTACATGCTAGTTCCCTAGATCAACACTTCTCATGTTGTATTTTGGAGATGACATAGTACATAATCAGCTTGTTTGGGTGATATTAATGCAATTTCCGTAGAAGGTAGTGGAATAAATACACTCACTCTTTATCTTTGCTTTCTTTTTCCACTCGAGTAAGGCATTCCCATTTGTCTTCCTGTTTCTTCTTACATAACACAAGGATCATGTCTGTCTTGATCTGCAAAAAGAAAGTAAATTTAAGTTAAAAGGGCAAGAAATGAATTAAAGGTATTTATAGCAGATGTTGGTTGCATCCACAACAATTCGGGTAACAGAACGATTTGTTATAAGCTCCTGGTTCTGGATGCTCCTAACTTCCTGAAATGTTTTATGTTTAAGCTAACTTTTTCTAGCTAGTACATATTTTTAAATCTGTATTAAGCATTGACCTTGGGGGTACAAAGGATAATTTGTTTTGAATCATTTAAAGAGAGGCACAATTCTGTGGAACAGCACTCAGTTAAAAAACTGGAGACAAAAATACTCTTTACAAATTCTAGAACCCTTATTGTAGGAACAGACTGGTCCAAGGTATTTGGCATGCTGAAAGCATCCAGTCCTGTCTAATAAATAACCTCTATTTTTACCTTTTCAAAGGAGCCAGACCAGTCAATTTTAATTTTTTCTCCCTGGTGGTTTGCAAACAACATACACCAATCATAATCTGGAAAAAGCAGTTAGTGATCCTTAAGTGGGGTGGCACAAGATCTTTTAAAGGGTGCTATTGCATCTGGCTCCCATGCAAGAGGACAAGTGCTCACTCCTTCCCCAACCCAGCACCCACAACTGCTCATCTGGACACTCCCACTGCTGCCTCTCTGGAAGCCCGCTTAACAGTTGCCCCTGCACTCCAGGCTGCTGATGGATGGGGAGGCTGTGCTTTTTAGCTTGGTTCATTCCCTGGCTCCTCCGTGGTCTGTGGAGTTTTGGAGTTCTGAGGACACAGCCAGAAAGGGTTTTGTATGGAGGTGTCTCTTCTTTCCCAATGAGTAAAGTGTGCATGTGTGTTAAAGTTAATATGCAAAGTTTCTGGGTTCTTTAATGTATTAGTTATTTATCTCTGACTAGTTAAACTTGAAACCTGAGTGTGGGTAGAGCTCTATGAAACAACATGTTGAAAGTCCTGGGGAGATTTAGAGGATGAGTCAGAGTTTGAACTGTTCAAGGCATATGGCAGCTACACTGCAGTGTCCCACTTCTGCAAAGGGGAACAAGTCAGCACATACACTCCAGTGGGGCTCTGGGGCTAGGGACAGAAATTCCACACAAACTGGTATAAGTGACTGGAAACCAGTTCAAATCTGTAACACAACAGAAGTTCAGTGCACATAAACTACTTTCAAAACTGCTGAAACCAGTTTAAGATAAACCTGGATGGATGTCATATCAGACTTATCTGATTTAGGTTAAATCAGTTTATTGAACTTCTGTTCCAGACCCTCTCCAGGTTCAAATTAACCCACAGTCCTCCAACTTCGCATGATGCTTTGCACCTCCCTGCAACCCCTACCTTACCCCCAATTCCCTTGTAGGGTGGATGGACTAGCCTTTGCCCAAGCTGTATGCTCCAGCTGAGCAGGGAGGTGTTCTCTAGTGCCCCCTGGCTTCTGGCCTGGGCCACTGCAGGCATGTGGCTGCATTTCCAGAATCAAAAGCAAATGTCTGTTCACTTGCTTATCAGTTCAATCTATGCAGCTTACACTAACCTGCAAAGACTGAACTGATTCAGTTTAGGGCTTTTTGACTGTTTGTCCTTAGCCCTAAAGGCAAGGATGCTGCCTGGACACTATTCAGATTCAATGGGTTTACAAGCCTATGAGATCCAAACCTTGAATCCAAACTCAGCAGGCTCACCAAAAGGAGACTGACCAAGTCTAAGCCATCACCCAACTATGGTGAAGCAATATAGGTGGGTTACTTTTGCATAGTTTATGTATATTTGTGACAAATACAGAGGAGATACAATTCTGAACTGCTCTGGGGAAAGGGAGAAAGCAGGGAAATCAGCACATAATACCATTACATCACAACCTTCTAGCTCAAAGGAATTTGAGAACTCATGAATTCTGAGGTCTTTTTCCCCAGCTATTTTCAGTTCTGGACAGTAGATCACGACCAGTGATTCCCAAATTGGGTACTGCAAGATCATTTTAAGGATCTGCGCAAGGAGGTAAGAGCTTGCTTCCTCTCCACTCCCCACTAGATTAGGGTGCTGTTAAATTCAGAAGTTACAGAAACCAGGAGGGGAGTCTCAAATGTAAAAAAATATTTGAGAACCCCTGGGTTAGCGTGAACTTTTGTAAGTGCCATCTCAGACAAATCAGCAATGCAAGAGAAACATCCCTCTAACCCTTTCTTTCAAAACCATCAGCACCAGTTACTTGTGGGTATCTACCTGCACAGCTTATGCTCACAACATCATATCATGTTGCAACCCAGCCTGTGGATTCAGCCATCACTGCACTTTTTTTCTCAATGCAAAAAGACAAAAAATGCCATTTTCAAGAATATGCAAATTCTGGTTTTAAATTACAGGAAAATGAAGTTACCCAGTGCTGTCAATGCACCTGTCTAGACCTCTGCACTTCTAGTTCATGCCCCAAACCCACTTTTAATCTAATCTGTATCTCATTTACTATTCCATTGTTTTGTGATAAGCATGAGTGACCTAAGAGTTCAATACAGCTACTAGTGAATTCAGGAGAGACCTTATTTGAACTGATTTTTTCCAGGGATGCCAAGTTAGTTTCTGCCTTCTTTCTGTGGCACTACAAGCAAGGCCCATAAATTCAGCTGCAACCTTGATCTACGTTCTGCAGCCAGACCCCGGCATTCTGCAGCAAACAGAACACTCTGCTGTAGCTCCAAATTAATTCAATTAAAACCTCACTGTTTTAAAAATGTAAAATTAAAAGGAGCATTATCACTTTGGTATATACTTAATGTTAAATTCAATTTACTTTACATTGCCTATACTTTTAACACATTAATTGTGGATCACTACCATATGTTATATATGTCATATAGGCAGGTGTGCAGGGGGTGTGCAAGGCATTTGGCACTTATCATGGTATTGATCTGAGTTTGTAGATAGACACATCAGCTATATATTAAAATAATCAGTACTGAAATAGGTAATGAAATTGTCATCCTTAACTTTCAAACCAAGCAGACCATCCAGATGAATTGGGCAGGTATGGCTCTAGCTATTGTTTCAGGCTGTATACAAACTTAAGCCACGTACAGGCATTCAGTTTCTATTAAGAGAATCACCATTCTCCTGGCAGAAACCAAAAGTGTGCAGATGTTTAAACTTCTTTCAGAGCATAAAAAGGCCACTTGGGGAAAAATAACAGAACTACAATAGATAGAAATCATCCCCAAGGCGAGTTTCTCCTGGGAGAAAGAATGCCTGCATACTTTCCCCCAGTTAACTCTTCTTGGAGATCAGGAAGAGCAGAGGTAGGATAAAGGCTCCTGTGCCTTCCAGAGACCAGTCACCCCAGCCTGGAGAACACGCAGGGTACAGCTGCTACCACCTCTCCCATGAACCAGGAGGGAAGCCAGCTGTTTCCCCAAATGAGAAGTTTGCAGGGACTTTGCTGCACAGCTCCCTGTGCTTGGCTGCCAGGCACTGGAGCAATGCAACCCCTAGCCTATTTGCCACACCAGAGTTCCTGGTGTGAGAAGCAGGCAGGAGGCTTTGCTCTAATTCTATAGTCATCTGGGAACAGGACAACTGGAGCAGCCCATGCTTTCCCCAGACTGGGATCACCTTGGTCACAAGGAACAGGGAAGAAGGGGCAGATGAAGACTGAACATTTGTACTGCTCTCTCTTTCTTCTGTAACTTTTCCTTTGCTAAAACTGAATGTTTCTATGTAATCTTCCCAAGCAAGCCAAGATTTTTTTTTTCAAAATGTGAAGACTAGATACTTGGGGTGAAAATGTTAAAGGGATTCAGAAGCCTAAAGATGAAAGCAGGTTTCTAATGGAATATTCAAAAGCACTAATGCAGGTTAGGCACTTAATTCCCACTGGTTTTCCTTGAAAATTGTACTAGACAACATCCTTAATGTTTTGTATTCTGCAGCCACAGAACATGTGAAGTCATGATGAGAGCAAGCAAGATGGTTTATGGTTAGAGTGATTCTGTAAGGCTGAACTAGAGAATTCTGCTGAGCCATGAAACAAAGTCTCAGATGAGGAAGGGGTCTAATTCAGTCATGCCAAGCCTTTTCACCCTGTGGGCTGGATGGGCAGTGCCAGGTCCCTCTGTGGACTGGATATGGTTGATAGGCCAGATCTGGCTGCAGGGGGTTGTGCAGCCCAACATTGATCCATCTGCCTGGGGCAGTGATGGTGGCAGGGTTGCTCCAATTTGGAAGCATGGGGAGGAAAAGATGGACAAAGTGACCCCAATCCATATGTGCATGGGGGAGGGAGAGACAGAACATCTCTGATCCAGATACACGGTGTGGGGGGCAGCCCGGTCCCAATTCCAATCTGGATGTGTGCTGGGGAAAAGAGGGAAGAATGGCTCTGACCCAGATGTGTGCCTAGGGGAGGGGAGGGTAGCAGTCCAGCCCTGATCCAGATGTGTGGGAGGGACAGGGTGGAGCAGCCCCAATCCAAACAAATGGGAGGAGGGGCAGCCGCCTAGTCGAATCTGGGCATGCAACTTGGGGAGGGAGGGGGGTCCTGGTGCCCCTTCACTGCAATGGCCCAAGTGAGGCTGGAGCTAACTGCATGAAGCTTCCACCTCTCCCTGCTGCCAAATTTCCCTGGCCCATGGGCGAGCCCTATATGCTGGATGTCATGGTTCCATGGGCTGGATTTAGCCGTGGGCTGGAGGTAGAGCACCCTGATCTAAACAAATACCTTTCTTGAACTGCCATCCACAGAAATGGGTTTCAGCAGGTTGTTGAATGTCATGGAGTAATTCCGTCCATTCAAATGTTTCACCAACAAATCAAATGACCTAGAATGGAGAAAGAGTACATCTGTATGCCCCCATCATCATACACAACATGTAAAATGACATTTAAACAATACAGAGAGGAGAATATTTGTTTTTCCTGGGATTTTCTCATCTCCAGCTTGGTACAAGATTGTACAAATCCTTGGAAAAATAATTATCTAGAAGGTATAAGAAAATAAGAGTAGTCCCATTCAGGGTTCTTTTTCTTACAGCTCTGTCACACCAACTTTTTGCAGAACCTGGACAAATAACAGCTCTGTTTCAGAACCCCGACCAAGTGTTATGAGTCTTAGTTAGAATTTGTAAAATGTTTTGAGATTCTCTGAGAAGAACTACACACATACATACCACTATGTACTAAAGACAACAGACCATTTTATATTTTGACCCAGAGGAGTGTTCAACAAAACAAGCCCCTTCATCTGAGATGCAGCTTTTCCAAATGTGTTTTCTGGCTGGCACAGCAGAAGTCTGGACTCACCTCTCTGAGAAATGCACTTGCACATTCTCAGCTGGGAGCTTGTGGACACCATTTAAAGTGATGTAAATCTTCACAAACTTATCTGACTGGTCCCAACCTGCAAGAGAAAAGGACAAGTAGGTTTCTTTCAGCCTTCCTCCACCAGTTCATGACCTGCTTTCCCTGAAGCAAGTACAGTATACCACAATAGATAATGCTCTGCTGCAACTATCTTCAGATAGCTGGGGAAAGACACCATGCGGAGCATAAATGGAACAGAAGCAACAAGGTTAGGAACACAATTATCAGCTAAGTTCTTTGGTTCCTCTGGTTCTTCACAGAGAACCAGGGCAGCTCTGCCTGACTGAGCAGGAAAGGATGGAGAGGATCAGAGCTGGGTGGCTGGTTTGACTAGTCTACCTGGCTGCTTCAAAGACCCACTGCTGGAATGGGGGACGCTGGATAACAAAATATGCCGGCTAATTGAGCGGCCCCAGCCACTGCTTCTCCTGCCCGCGTCTGGGGCGTCCCATCACTGCCACTCCTACAGGCCCCGAGGGCCCGTGGGACAGGGGGGCGGGCCCCGCACAGTCTGTTATGCCCCTAGGCTGTGAGAGCTCAGCAGTGCAAGCTGCTTTGCCCTGAGCCATGGGGGCTCAGAGAAACCAGAAATGCCATGGTGGGCACTTCCAGTTTCACTTTATCTTATAAGCCGGCATGCCAGTTAGTAGAGCATGCTGGCTTGTAAGATACCTGTTAACAGAATTCTACTGTAATTCAGGAAAGCATCTCAATGCTTCACAGGAGCAACCGCTGCGTAACATATCCTGCCCCCCCGCTACAGGCTGGGCTTATTTTGCTTGGGGCTAGGAAGAGAGATGAGGAATTCCAGAAACTCTGTCCTCCCCTCTTCTAAACATCCCACACTTAAAACCTCACGTTCCATACTGGGCAGTTATTGCCCCTATATTTTAAAAGATGCAAACATACAAACTGAGCATGACCTCCCTCTGTCACCTTCATGATTACACAATTATAATGCATTAACCACTGGTTGGCACTAACAGTGCCCTCAGTTCTGTTAAAACATGTATTTTCTCAGCAGGAATTTGGAAGAACAATCTTACCATAATTGTTGATTTTCACAGTATATCCTCCAGCTGGTGGTTTCTCTTCCTCTACTGCATCACCTTTGGGCTTGGGTCCTGGCTGGTTCTTGATTTCTGTCTCTATCTTATGCTCTTCTGCCATCAGGACATCCTGAATTCTTTTTCTTGTGGCTTTGTTCAACAGCTCTTTAACCTCTTCCAAGTCTTTCTGTAGCTGGGTTTAAGAATAAAAGACCATATATGTGCATTGGATAACATGCTGTTTCACCTGAGGCAAACTGTTGAGCCCCTTCACTCATCAAGTGTCCAAAAGAAATAAAGCACCTGCATACGTATCCTCCAGCAGCCTCTAAAGCAGCTCTAAATATAAATTTAGGTTACCATGTAGACCCAAGTTTTGCTGAACTCACAAAAGCAGCTGGAGAATACAGACCTGCTACAAATACTTGGACTAGTTTCAATCCCTTATCCCCAGGTTAGCAGAACTGAGAAGCGGACAAATTTTAGAGGTGATATTTTTCTGTCCTTTAACATAAAAAAATGAAAGTTATCTTGTTGAGTCTGCATTTTTTCTAGCAAGACCTCATACAGCCATATTTTAGATTTTGGCTGAGCAATGCTTTATGTATGTTTTGCCTTTGCAAGTCCAATTACTCCGGCCTAACAGAATCATATGTAATACCTTCAAGAAACTTGTCGTGGCACAGCTGATCCATTTCACCGGGTGAAGCAAATGTTGCCCCTTTTCCTGCCCTTGGTGGCAGGCACAAGAGGCGATGTGATCTCCCCACTTTCCCCACCCAAGCAGACCCGCATTCCAGACCTGGCTGAGCAGGGAAAGCAGGGAATGACTTTTCCTCATCCAGCCAGATCCACATCCTGGATCTTACTAAGAGAAAGCAAAACAGAGGTAATCGATAGAGGTAGACCAATATATCAGTGCCATATCAGATTGGCACTGATAAAAGGAAAATTAACATTATTGGCTATCAGCTTTTTTTGGCTGGTGTAGCTGACAACATGTACTGATAAATAAAATATGCCTTCTGGTCCGGGCCCCAATGCCACATGCATCCACAGTGTAGCCAGGCAGTGTGGAGAGCAGCTCCCTGCAAGTAAGTCTATGGAGAGAAAGGCGGGGGGGGGGGGAAGAAAAAGAGATCAAGG